AGTCAAAGAGTAGTGAATCATTGAAACAAACTGGCATGTCAAACAAAGTTGTAGGAAGTCCCTTCCTAGCAACATGCAAAAATCGTTTGGATAAGTTCTATGGGTCCTGGTATCACATTTATAGCTAAATTCAAGCAAGTCAGATAGTAAGATAAATGTCAAGGATGGGTGCGAAGCCTGGCGTAGGCCAACCTCGATGGGCCCTGGTGGCTCTTTGCCTGATATATATATATATATATATATATATATATATATATATATATAGAGAGAGAGAGAGAGAGAGAGAGAGAGAGAGAGAGAGAGAGAGAGAGAGAGAGAGAGAGAGAGAGAGAGAGAGAGAGAGAGAGAGAGAGGGAGAGAGAGAGAGAGAGAGAGAGAGAGAGAGAGAGAGAGAGAGAGAGAGAGAGAGAGAGAGAGAGAGAGAGAGGAGAGAGAGAGAGAGAGAGAGAGAGAGAGAGAGAGAGAGAGAGAGAGAGAGAGAGAGAGAGAGAGAGAGAGAGAGAGAGAGATGTGTATATATATGTATATATATATATATATATATATATATATATATATATATATGTCTACTTGCGCTCCCGCTTTACTGTCCATCGGTGCCAAATCTCACATCATCGCAAGCAAAGCGAACATCGAAGCTCGGATGATCCCCCAGCGTCGAGAGGTCCTCTTTCCCCGGAGCGTGCCGCCGACCGTCTCCCGCAGGACCCCCGGCCGCCACCGCCGTGAGGTACGGCGTCAGTGACCGGGCCGCCTGTCCCCCGCACGGCGGCCGGGTGGTGCCGGTGCCGCCCGGCGGAACGGACGACCGGCCGTCGCCGTCCGTCGGCCGTCGGCCGGTCCGCACCGTCAGGAGAACGTCGCCATGCATGATTCACCGTCCGCACGCCCGGCGGCACGCGACTGGCCGCTTTGGGCCGCCGCCGCCGGCCCTCAGGCGGCCGCCCGCACCTGAAAGGAGCTCCGGCGGACCCAACTGGGGAAGAGTGTGGCGGTGATCAGTGACCAACGGTCAGAGAGACACAGTCGCAGTCTTTTTTAGTCGGCTTTGGTGTGGCTGGGTTTACTGCATGCTGTATTAGAGGCTTTGATTGACGTGAGTAGCTTGGCGTGATAAGCTGAATCACTGCCGCTGTACCCTGTTGTAAAAATAAATAATTCGTTCAGTCAACACTTCTCCACCAGCGGTGTGTGGGTATTCCCAGCAGCGTGTTCCCAAGAACTATAGTAGCTCTACATCTAAATGACTCTTTAGTAGCATTATAGGTTCATCAGCTCACCTTATGCCTACCAACCGTCAAAACCTGTCATGAAAACTACGCTGCACATGCATATCGTCTTGAGTCGCTCGGAAGAGACTGCAATGTGTGGGGTTGTCGCACACATTGTCTTAATATGCGGGACACACGTCTTAACATGGGGATAGACGCTCGGTATGCATATGCTCCAGCGCTTTGGTTCTGCAAGCTTGTTGAGCCCTGCGTGCATACGGACAGTGATGATCCACGTGATTTGGAAGCTGACGTACTGACGTAGGCCTGAACCCCAGCATGCTGGAGACTGATGCACAGCCCCAGACATGTGCTGAAAGTGTCTGTCGCTCAGGTGAGTCGGCACGGATCGGAGAGCCGTGTAGTCAGTCGGGAAATGAACGATTAAAAAATCTGTCATGGAGACAGCGGGATGCGGGACATAGCTTTGTGTATCACTGCCGTAACATATGACCATGATATTTGTGTCAGTCTCCAGAGAAGGATCTGGAATGTCACGGTCACGACCGTTTGGTCCAACCACATGCTACCAAACGACTTACACGCTCGGGAGCGTTCGCGTGACAACGTTTTGATCCTTACCAAGCTAAAGCAGTTGCCCCAGTGCGTGATCCAGGCGTCAAGGCCTATGACATGTGCTAATTGGCTGGCGGGGAATGAAACATACAAAGACAAACTTGGTATCGCTGGGGAACTAGCCCCCCTAAGATGTGTTTCGGCCTGGCACGGAGCCGGGTTCCACAAGGGCTCGTCAAAAACATTGTTAAAAGCAAAATGTGTATGCGCGTTTTTTCTAGCTTGAGTTTGACCTTAGTCTGACCTTCATTCCTCACCCAAGGTCAATGGGAGGAGTCGTAATCCTAAATCTACTTGTCTAAGTCTCCTAAAAATCGCATCTGACCTAACGATCAGTGAAAATTCACACAAGGTGGAATGCTTTAACGTCTGTTGATGTATCAGTTAACGGATTCGCCGTTATGCTAGAGTACTCCGCGGATTAGATCAATCCAGGGATTGCGGATAAATCCGCGGGCTGAAGTGAGCCTCCTCGGAAGTTTCCAACAGGACATAATGAGGACCGGACCGGATGTTCGAACTTGCCTGCGCACACGAATTAAACGGACTGAAAACCAACCGAATGGAATTATTACTAAATAGTCTTTCAAACGTTCAAGGAGGACAGCAACTCGGAAAACAAAGAGGCTTAATAGAATATAACTCAGCCACATATTCCACAAACCAATTTTATGATGAACAGATCACATTGGGAACTTGATATGAATGAGTGGCGCTCATATGTGCTACTATGAAGAATTCGAGCTCTCATTTCTTCCCAGGTCTATGCAATATGTAATGACGCAAAACCCTATTTTGTCATAACATAGCTTTGATTCCTCCTAAACTTATCAGAAATTCCATTTAACCACACTTGGTGGCACTGAAATTCAGAGTTAAGTTTAACACCAGCTTTAAATTGTGCATGCTGCTTTAACTGATCCAATATCAGGTGCCTACCAGAACAAAGGTTATCGCATCCTCACAATTATTTGTTTCTTCACTCCCCTCCACAATTAATGTATATCAAAGAATGAACATGCTATCATCTACAACCGTGGACTAAAGGTAGCTTTCTCACCAAAGGTGAGTTAGGCACTCTTTGGATCCAGGAAGCAACCTCGGGATTGGGTAGGTACTTGTTGACTTGTGTCCTATTTATTTTACTCCCACTCGCACAAACCAAGCATAACTTGGACGCCAATAATGCTTTTGCATGCCTTTAATTATTTAGAAGGTCAAACGCACTTTACACAGAGTCCAAAAATTAACGCGAATAACGATGCCACCCACGTCCGTCCATTCATGTTTCAGATGAAGATTTGGTAACATTTTGAGCAGCTTGTGCGATCACATATCCCTCTGCAAGTGGCTAGTATGTTTATGAGACGTCAAAGCGCCAGCGGTCACGACGGATGTCGGATGATGGGCGACAAGTACAGAACTGTCACACCACGTTTTGTGAATATGGCAGGATTCTGTATTTGTGTCTAAGGTGCTCACGGTGCGAAAGAGACGTTACATTCTGACTCAAATGCGGCGCAATCTAAAGAAGCATTCGTGGTAAGTCTCTTAGCGCGTTGAAAGCGAAACAACAGATGCGGAGCTACATACTATAGTTCTATGGGAACTCCTTTTGGCTACATAAATGTCATTTCATGCAGCTGTGTGATGCATGATTACAAATAGAGTGCGCTTTCCTTTTTTCATTATAAGCGAAAATGGGAGGTTTGGTAGCATCTGACATTTTAGCGTAAGAATTAAAGAATAATGCAACTGCTTCATTTCCCTCAATGAAAGAGTAGGTACCGCGGGCAGTGGATTATAATGCTAGCGATGTCAATAATCTAACAGGAAGTAATGGTCGCAGAAGAGATTTTCCAACAGTTGGTGTGTCCGAGAACGGACACACACCTGAGTATCCTGCGAAGTGAGATAGTCGTTCCAGCTATTCAAAAGGCGCACTAGATGACCGCCGCTCCACGCTTGTGCACTGGGTGCCCCCGAAGCTGCCAGGCGGTTTGTGTAGGCATGCTGCACATAACCTTGAGTCTGAAAATGTTAGATAGTGTGCTCATGTCTTTATGCTATTGAAGCCAGAAGCGACTTTGCAACCAGGAATGATATGCGAACTAGGAAGAATGTAACTTCTTATATTCTTCAGCCCAGGACATAATTCGTTTTAGAATCTTGCCTATCTTGCACAACACTTGTTGAAAGCCTATTGACGGCCGTAATATTTGTAAATCAGGCTCACGGACGCCAGATATGAGCGACTCCATAATTGTATTTTCTTGGCTTTGAAACCCATATTGTCAATGAAATTACAAGATTTGAATGACGTTATTATCGCATCATGCATGCCCCCTGTAACCTTGAAATGGTCTGCATGAAATATTCTGCACATCTTTTCGGGCGTATGGCTTAGAAACAAGAGGATATTAGGTCTTAAGAGCGGTAGGGCTGTGAACTGCACCGAATGTGATTATTTCAGTTCAATCAATATGATTATTTCAGTTCAAAACCCCATTCAAATGCGCAACACACCCTTTAAGTACTTTAGCACTCAATAGCTTATGACAGCTCATTGCACATTTCTCTCTAATGGGAATCGACAAATTCCTGACATTCAAGGTACTCAGATGAACCAAATTTGCTGTTCAATTTTCCAAAAGTCATTCATGTGGAAGCGGCTTGGCACGCATTCATGTGATTTGTCTGGCAAGGCGAACCGGATCGAACTGGATTGACAATCTGAGCAAAGCGGATTGGCGGGCGGATTGGACCTAGGATAGCCTGACTGAACTGGGCCGGATCCTAAAAATCAAATCTGCAAAGTGCCCTGGGGGATACAATTTTCGATTACACATCATCAGACCTTGCCTTGTCAGCCCTTCGCGTCGTTCTCGCCAGATGCCGCCTTACAACCGTCAGCAATAACACTCACGGCTTCCACACCTCTGGCACTCTTCCTAAGGTATGCCGCCTCGCCGCTGCAGAAGCGATCAGCCCATGAGCCCGTTTCACCATGTTGAGGTACGGTCGGACCGCGATAGGCGAATGCGGCGCTGGCCGCGTCGCCGCGCGCACGTGTGTGGGTGCGGGGGGGGGGGAGGCGGCGCGGGCGGCCGCCTCAAAGACAGGCGGTCGGCCGGCCGGGCGGCAGTCGGCACCATGCAGTGGACGTCGCCGCTCCCCGTCTGCGTCACGCTGGTGGCCCTCGTGTGGACGCTGCAGGAGACGGAGGCGCGGCCCTACAGGTGGGCTCAGCTCGCGTGTCGTGGCACCACCCGGCGGGCCTACGCATCCCACGGCGGTTTGTTGCGCCGCGTCTTCGTAAAGCTTGCTTGATCGTGTCGTATGGAGCTCGATCGTATAGAGCTCGATCGTATGGAGCTCGATCGTTTCGCCTGGAATCTTGCGGCATCGGTGAATACCGTGACGGAGCGGGATACACGCTTCGGCTGTCCTGCTACGAAAATGGATTCGCGGATTTGGCCCAGTTTTGCTTTAAGCCAGTTTAATCGTTCGAGGATTCGGGGGTACTAGGTGCCCCAGACGTTTCGCTGGCCAACGTTTTTACCTATAAGCTAAATCACTAGGGGGAGCCGAAGTGAACACATGTCTACAGTTGTTAAAATCGTTTATTGATAGCTTTAGAATGGATGGGATATGGAAGGTTGGGACTACAACGCGCTCGGTGCCATACCACCCCACCTCATCTGGCCTTACGTGGTGGATACATGTGCGGGTGGATATTTGCCTTCTGTTGGTAAATTAGTTGGAACATGCTGGAAACTTAATCGCTCTTACACTTGGATTACAATGTTCCAGAACGAGTGCGGTGGCACTGCTTAAGCCAGAACATAGTAAAGTGCTCTTTTTGTTCCAAACTACCTGTTGGTGGAAAACTTGACAACCGTTGGAGGTTGGCCTAGCATATGTAGGAGTTGGCGTGACAGATACACTAGGTACTTTGATATGGATAGTGATGTGCGTGTGTACCTGACGCACAAACAGCTCAGAGAAATGTTTTACATTTCTTGGGCCCAGTATTCCCTTTTCTAATATGCATGGAGAGAGGAACTCAGAGGAGCATACGGGGTGTTCAAGTCAGCATTGGGGAGGGGGGGGGGGGAAGCCCCCTCTAAAAGTACATAAAGTTACGCTCCTGTTACTTACCATGTTTGGGTATTCAATTTTATTCAATATTCTAACTATCAAAGACGTGTAATAGCGGATTAGAAGGCATTGCTTTATGTAGATTTTAATCTTCATTTATGGCGTATGGGAGTTGAAAGTAATTGTGAGCTTGAATGGTTGGAAACTTTTTGATGGCATTGTAACCATTACAATGCTGCAACACAACCTGTGCTTTGATCATAACAGCTAGTGATTAAAAGATCCCAAGCATCAGTCCCTGATACCCCTGTTCCACTGACTTAACCAGTGCATATGGAAATAATGGGCGGCCAGCAATACTATGAGCATTATTATGGCCTTGGGGGGAGAACTCCTCCTTGTTCGCATTTTTTTCTCATAGCTAGATCAGACACGTCTCATTTGTTCGGTAATGCTAGCTTCTTGAAATCCTTCGGAACAGCTCAACACTTCGATTTGAAGTAGCCGCTCCGGCAGGAGAAATCTCATTGGACTCCCAGCTCGATACCAGACTCGTGTTCGACTCAATTTTTTTAATCGGCACGGTACTGGCTCGCAGATTTTGGGATCCGATTCAGTTCAAGACTAATAGATGTATTATATTATTTATTCGACTGAGCTCAAACTCATTGTTTGCGTTGGATCATTTGTCTCCTGACTCACACGGCTTGCAGATCAAAAGCTCCATTCAGCTCTGGTTTACTTATATGTGTGTATATACATATACGTATATCATGGCATGTAAAATAGATGGAAGTAGCCCAGTAGCAAGTTTGTAGTTTAAACCTACCGAGTGCAGTGCAGCAAACGACACCCTTTCTGTGACCCGGTACATACCAGCTCTCTCAAATCTCAGCTCTCGGATAGCATATTGTGTCTAGCACCTATGATGCAGACCCATGATATACAGCATGAAATCTGGACTAGACTGCACTCAACTTGACAGATGGCAGTCTGCACCTACGAAGTGCATTTTCACGTAGGTAATCACATTTTCACCAGTCAGAACATATATGGTATTGCCAGGCGCTGCCTTGCCTGCGCCAATGTTGTCCAAAAGAAAAGCAGCGCTTTTCTGAAATGTTGACCGTATAATTTGGACTCAACAATGAACGAAGTAAATGTGCTTATAGTATCCCGGTGGTGAAACAATTCCACTACCCCGTGCTGTTCATATTTTTTACCCCGCGCTACCCCGTTTGCCCCGTTTTTACCCCGTGTTGTTCATTCATGAGACACGTCCCCAGGGTTCATCAGAGCATGTTTTTGAAATCTGCTGCAAAGGTGGGACATTCCCTCTGACCTCGAATTAATATGCGCTCGAAGAAATTTCCGAGGACCTTTGGAACTGTGTTCCTCTTATGCTGTTCAAACCATCCAGCTGTTTGCATGGCAGAGAAAATAACTAGATACGGGTAGACAACGACCGTGCGCTTCACCAAAGCAAAGCGTTAGCTGCCAGACTGACAGTGGATGCTACGGGAAATTCGGGACTAACGTCGTGATGGCCGACAGAATGGCCGTAGTTTTGGTGGTTTGCGCCGAGCAAATGTGAGCGCAACCAACATGATTAGAATGTAACCGTTCTTAGGACCTAGAAAATCCAAATGCTCAGCTCGTAGCCTTTCTCATAACAGCCAGTTTTTTGTACACTTGTGTTTTAGTTTGCAAATTTGTATGTGCAGTTGTAAAAATGTGTTTCATAAGGCAGAAAACTACAAACAACAACTGCAAATTACAAATCTACAAAACCAGACACAAAAATTTACAAATCTCTCGACAATTTCTACAACCGTATCTTGGTATGTTTCATAAAGGCCGGCTGGTTTTCCAGACGCGGTACATTTGTAAAATGAAAAGAACAAATCACGATTACGTCTTGACAATATCCTACCCCATTGCAGAACAGGTGATCGTAAGCTTAGCCAATACCGGTAGCGAAAATGGATTGTTGACACGAAGCTCGCAGAAGGAGGAGACTTGCAGGAATGTCCCGGGGCAAAATAAGCAGGTTCTCGAAGGAAGTGGAAGGAAAAACAAGCTCGCAGAACAAAACGCTCAGAGAAAGCAACCCAGTGATGGTGTTGATGGATTTAATCATCTCTAACTCCGCGCATAGCCCGTGCGACTAAGCGTGCAGCAAATTCATTCCTTTGCGCTATTACCCATCACTATAAGTGGCCTTGGCAGCCGCACCGATCCAATCGAAATCCTGCGTTGTCTTGTGTTCGCGCGTTGATGGGATGGGAGGGTATTGGTACGAAGGCGATCATTTTCCGTGGGTAGGCCTACTGGCCTTCAAGGCACTGCCAGGATGAAATGGCCGTACCAAAAGGCTATGAAATGTCTGAATTTGAAGTGCAGTTTTACTCATGCAAGTGAAAGCAGATATACCCATCCTGTCAAACTGCGGGCATGCAACGACATTCATCTTGGCGCCAAACAGGGACAGCTATCACCGGGTATGAACGACGCATGAATCCCATGTCTCTGAGTAGAATATAGGTGTCTATCATGGTAACAGAAAACTAGTATCATGCTGGATCAATGAGTCACTGTTTCGCTGGTTGGCAAGTCAGTGTTATATTCTGTTTGTTTGCTTCTGCTTGAAACTGTAAGACGCACGGTGAATACAATGACCAATGTACTTGATTGCTGGTATTGGGGAACCTAGTGTTCTGTTCCTTGACACTTCCGATACATGTCTTGTTTTTGTTTACAAATCGCGGTATCTATGATGATCCACGGTATAATTTGTTTTTTCTGCGCTCGTCGGACATTGGCAATGTCAGCTGGCGGGTGAAACATTGGAGGGGGTGGGGAAATCATTGGATTTCCTTTTGGTGGAATCCCGTGCGACTCAGCACAGGGCAATGACGTCACTGGTGCCCGGTGTCATTGGCCCCCGCCGCTGCTGTCTCCATCGTCGTGGCGTAACGGAAACGTCGGGTAGATGCAGCATTCGAAGTGATTGGAGGCAAGGCAATTAATAGCCTTTCAAAGTTTGTTTAGAGGTATCAAGCAAAGTCGTACTCTTCCGGTTAGTGTTTCTATTATCCTGCAAGCAGGGGCGTTAACTTTTCTAAGTGGTTGGGGATAAGCCCAGGACCCAGGTGAAATGCATATTCTGTGATAGGGTGAGCCATTTCTCGCCCCCCCCCCCCCCAACAAGTTATTCAACGGCATTACGCCCTTTTGAGAAACCGTGAAACTAGCCTCGCCCTAAATACATTTATCACCGGCTCTTAGGCCACTTGATTTTGATGCGCGGGAGTTTTTCAAGCCGGTGGCACGGAATAGTCCCTTATTTTAGTAGCACGGTCATCAAAGGCGGGTAACGCCTGAAGAAGGCCCCTGTAATATTTATATTCTCCCAAAATTTTGCAGCATTAAATTCAAAAGGTTTGTGAAAGGGGGGGGGGCAACCAAATGTGGTAGACGGGTGTCAAACAAGGGCCCTCACAAACTCACAAAGAGAACAATCTAACTCCTGCCCACAAGGTCGTAGTCTTCAAACCCTGCTGTTGCTGCTGTTTGATTGTTATGGAGGAGCACAGTCGAGGGTCGCTCCATTCTGCCCACAGGTCTTCATCTTTTCCACAGCGCTCTTAAAAGAAAATTTAAAATTGGCGTGATGCGTTCTCGCTGGGGTCTGCGCTCATCCTCTGAAGAAAATCTTGATTGCGCCCCTGCTGTTGGTACGAACTAATGGCAAGTGGGCGCGGAGGCTAGCCAAGCACAGATGAAAAAGAGTGACTGTGTCTTACCATGGGGCCACAGTGCCTGACAAGGGATCCTGTGTCAGCAAGGGAATCCGAGTCAGCAACGGACCCGTTTGCTAGAAAGGGACAAGGACAGGATCTGGAAGGTCAACGGACATCTTGCATTGTCCGGGGCCCCAACGATAAAGGGAGGGAGCAAATAGGGCAATAATAGGGCCAGCATTGATTGACGCAATGGAATGGTAATGTGTCGGACAGTGGGCCCAATAACCAACAAACAACCTTGCTCCATTTTGCCCATGGGCCCGATTTTGTTAAAAGTGATCCCTGTTCCATTTAGTAGATCCCCTGTACCTGCACGAAATTATTGTGCGTCACTGAAAGTCTCTGTTCCGAGTCGCACTAACTGCTCCGAGTCGGTGGTCAGAGGACGGTCGACGTCATAAAGGAGGCCAATGTTTCCTCAGAGGGCCTCTGGATCATCATGAGGCCCGGCGCCCGTGTCACCAGAATGTCGCACCATAAGTATTCTGTGGCCGCCAGTGTTTCACTGACGGCGCCGCCTGAACGAAACAGAAGGAAAGGAAACTTTGGGTCCCGCTCAAAACTTGGGAACCTTCATCATGGACCTTTCATAAAGCCCTGTGTCACTCCTGCTCCACCAAGACTCTTGGTGCGACCCTGGGCACGTGCACATGGGTGACAGAAACCGGCACCGGAAGGAGCGGGGACAGCGAGAACAGCGAGCCCGACTGCGTGAGCCTGACTTCATGCATTGATACCAACGTCCCGCTCAGTATGGGCGATGTAATTTAGGTTAGGTTTACAGAACTTACACCGAACTAATCGTTTGATAACGTAGCGTATTTTTGGGGAAGGAAGGAACAAAGGGTAGCTTTTCCCAGCAAATTTGTCATGCAATGCAGCTGTAACCAACGTAATATGCATCGTGCGGGGCTGCGCGCTGCTCTCGCTGTGTCAAGACTCCAGTGACGTCACGCCAACGTTGGGAGTAGGGGTGCTAACAAGCCGGTCAGGCGTACTTTTTACACGTCCTTGGCAAGACCGGTGATTGGCGGCGACAAATTACACACGGCGCAGAGTTTTACAACTACAATTCTACAACCCGTGCTGGTTTTATGAAACAGTTGTAAGTTGCATTTGGTAAATTCTAAATTACAACTATTACAACTAATGCAACAACAAAACGCAAACTATTTGTAACAACTTATGACAAAGGCTACTCGTCCTTGTGTTTTACGCCCTTTAGACACTTGGCCTAAAAATTACACGACTTGTGACTAAGCATGGTTAGTTATTTCGCACATAATTCATCCCGAAATGTTTTTACTTATGTTTTGGTTTTGCACCCGTTCCAATGAGACTACCACGCTCTTTCTGGGCCCAGAGCTTGAGAAACTCAATTGCAGCTCAGACTCCCCAGATTCTCAGCTCATCCCCAGCATGTTCCGCCAGGTCGGAGCCGGGCAGAACATCTGAAACAGACCAAGGCTTCGACACTTAACCAGACGCTGCAACACATCCGGTTAGAAGGCGTGCACATCCGGTTAGGAGGCGTGCACGTCCCGTTGAAAGGCGTGTGCATGCGGTTGCAAGACGTGCGTATCCAGTCGCAAGGCGTGTGTATCCGGGTGGAAGGCGTGCGCTGAGCATACGTCACGTGAGATACGTCACTTGTGACCGATTTGGTGTCCGGTTTTCAGGACAAAGCGCGTATCAGACCAGCGTCTGGCGGAGCTGGAGACCCTGCTGGTGCTGGCCAAGATCAACAGGGAGATGCAGCTCAACATGCCGCTCGGCTACGGCGTCGCTGACCCCTCTAAACTGTGAGTGCCTGATCTCTCTAAGCTGTGAGTGCCGGACCCCTCTAAACTGTGAGCGCCGGACCCCTCTGAATTGTGAGTGCCGGACCGCTCTAAACTATGAGCGCCGGACCCCTCTGAACCGTGAGTGCCGACCCCTCTAAACTGTGAGTGCCGGAGCAACGTGCGTGGAAGGCGCGCCTCGCGTATGGTCTGGGAACCACCGGCATAGCGTGAGTGTGCTCTTGTGTGCTTATCATAAGATTCCGTGTGCTCTGTAAAGTTAAGAGGCATGCCCAAACCTCGGCTCATTTTCCGGCCCCACTCACGACTTCCGTTGTCCAGGCACTGTCTGGCCACTACAGGTACGTCGTGCAGACGGCTTGTCTTATCGCGCATAAGCTATGTAATTTCACAGCGTGGAACATTGTTAGGTGTAAGTTAAAGGCCTGCAGTCTCCGAACGCCCAGCAAGTTTATTATAATGCGTGAAACACAATCACCTGCATATTGCAGAGACTATTTCAAACAATGTCACATAACTTTTCACCCAGGCGCGGCAGTCACTTGATATCACCGCCCAACTGATGCCGCCGTCATCGTCTAACCTTTGAATATCGATGGAAGATTATTTTCAGCACAAGAACTCGAAATGTCAGAAGAGTCAGGAGCTTAAAGCCTTCCCTTTTCATATCAAGCCTTCATTCCGCGCGTCGATGGATGATAGATATCACTGGCGATGAGCATGAGCTGCGGAACGCCCGGTGGAGGCCGCGGAATGCTGTGCCGCAAAACCCGGAGTACTCCGGAACAGTATACGAACGCAGGTGGTCGCATTCAGACGAATGTGCGGTGCAGAACTCTTCTGAATGTATCGTGCTCGTCATTACACACGGATCAACAGTTAATAGTCCGCAATAAGGCCTCATCGTGCTGCACTCATACAAAATGTCCACTACACAAATAACGTTGCGCGAGGGCGAAGCTCACGAACGAGCGAAAGCACACATAACGCACCCCATGCACTCCATGGTCCAGGCAGCGCATAATTAGTCGAGCCCGTCGACTTCCCGCACACCATCATATGTACGTTGTAGTTCTGTGCAGTGCAGTGCAGCGTGTTCAGCGTCGTGTGCGACACTACTTTGTTGAATTTTAAGTCGTTTTGCAAACGACCAACGCCACGGATCTGCGCAGTTCCCCGGTGCAGCTTCAAATGTGATATCATCAATCATTTTGTCTTAAATATCCAGGTGATGTGGCAGCGCACCGCCTGACGCACGCAGATTAGTTCATTATGATTGGTGGAAATAATGTCCATCCGTCACAAGTTAAGGCAAAATCTTGCAGAAGCTGACATCTGAATCAGAGGTGTTCCCGTCATTTGGTGTGCCCAAGTTTGGTGCTGGCTGCTCGACTGAGACTGCTTCAGTGCATTTCTCCGGCCAGCTAAAGCTAGGACATGCTTGATGAGGTGACTGCGTATCGGCACTTTATCGACATGTCCGCGCGGTGGTCACGCATGTTTTTGTATTTGACGTGCGTGTACATACCAGACATCCATATTGCATGGATGAGCTTGCATAGCAGCAAGCATAAATATGTAGCTGACAGCTGCTGTTGAGAGAAGATGATCGGTAAAATACGCATCTTATTTTCGAGCACCGCCTTGGAAAGATGGGCTGTGGTTACCATCAGTTGTGGTCGGCATCGCTCGAACTCCGCTGCTCCCTGCCGGGCGGGAGCCGTTCCTACTTGTGCCCGGCTGACAAGTGGATTACGTGGGATGAATAAGGCGGAGGGTAACTCGGGGGAAGCCGGCTGTTGGCTGGCTGCCCTCCACCACAGATGAGCCTTACTGACTTGAAACATGATGACAAAGTTGTTTTATTTGTTGAAGCTTAGGGTTCATATAAATAAATGAAAATGAAACGGGGAATCTCAAATGAATGGGGAAACGTCAGTATTCTAGACAAAATTCGTCACCCAACGGTGAGATAGAACCAAAACAAGGTCAGATAACAAGGTCAGATAACAGCATCATAGGTTGTTGACCTCGGGTGACCTTCGAACGGCCACTGATCTGTTACACCAATAGCGTGCCTTAACATACCATTCTGTTCTCATCAACGGCAAAACATGACGTTTAGGGCAAAGTAACTTCGCGAAAAACGACTCCGCATAATGACTCAGCAAAAAGTCGCATTTGGCACAAAAAGGTTCCACCAACTGTCAGAAATGATACCAAGACGAAGTGGCCTATTAAGAGCTGTTGCCAATTGGTTTTGCAACGCAAGTGTTGTGAACATTTTGTCGGCTTTACTAAAGTCTACGGCGCTTTCTGCGATCTTTTTCTGCTGCCTTCAGTTTGGCTTGAGAAGAGTATCCATCTCCTGACGAAGCAAGGGCTAAGGCTCGTTTGTACCAGCGGTCGGTATTTTTGTCTCACGACTAGACTGACGGGTCGTAGCGGCGGCATAGATTGTTCTTCGCTTCAATAGCAAGGCCAGCAATAAAACTCCACGCCGCAAATAAAGTGTGATTCGAGCCATCCTGACTGGCCTTAGCCCTCAATTTCGTCGAACTCCAGTCATGATATGCTAAGTTCTGCATTTGGTGTGGGACAACTCACTTTCACGGCCTGCAGCGGGAGACTACGCGGGAACTTGTGCGCCGTATGCGCCCTCTTGCAGACCGGCAAGACCATGGAGTCCTGAATTCTGATCAGATTCTATCAGATTGCAGCCGTCTCAGAGATCAGAGGTCTGCAGTCTCGCCTCTGTCCCCAATCCAAAACCGCTATCGCCAAACACGCTGGCCCGAACCCATGCGCTGAGTGGATCGTAAACGTGACGGGCGCGTCAGGTCAACACGTGAAGGGCAATACGACAATCAGACGACAATCGCGGGATAATTGGTTGCTCTGCGCGCCTGGCTGGACTGGCCGCGTGATAAGTGTTTGGCTGACAGAGCTAAGGCTCATGGCGGCGGAGCATATGAGTGTTCCCTGACCGACTAACAGGCATTTCATTTGTGCATCTCTTCTGATCGGTCCCGGATTGCTTACGCCTAATCAGCGGCAGACACCACTTTCGGGATTTGCCGTCTAAAGAGCACGCGAGGTCATTACGGAGGTTGCCGAAGGTCAATCACCAAGCTGTTCTCCAATGAGAAAATCCGTGGCGCAGTGTCGTGCCGCCCACCTTCGGATGTCAAGCAAAAACGACTATCATTTGTCGCATCAACAACAACTTATCAAATCCCTAGGTGCATCACCACGAAGTTTAACTGTTGCTGGAATATCAACGCAAGATAAGGCAAAATCAAGACTTAAGACGCAAACCACTAATCAGCTAATGACGTGGTCTCAAATGTACCCATTATTGCGGCGTTGTTGCAAGCATTCTTAGACATGACCAGTGAAACCGTAAATTTTTGAAGGATGAAAATGCTTATACCTTCTGCTGGTGAGTTTCCAGTGTCTTTTGCCCCTGAGCACACCTCTTAAGCTGGAGCGTTGTGTTGCTGTGTATCAGGAGGCAGCTCAATGCGCGCGCCCAGATGTGTGCACAGATTCCCAGCGTAACCTCAAAGCATGCATAATTACGAAGAAAACGCGGCCCAACCTTTCTTGCGTTCTCAGCGATAATGGACTCTATGCATGTGGTATGTGCCCTCAGCTAAGTGCCCATTAATGTCAAGAGGAGTGAATAAAACACTACGTTCATATTCATGACCGCGGAGGGAATGTTTGACCAAAGCCATCAGACCAGACTCACCTCAGTGGGTAGATGCCAGCCGGTATTTATAGCACTCAACTTCAACGTGTTGGTGTAGGTGGTATTTGTAGCCCTCAACCTCAACGTGTTGGTGTAGGTGGTATTTATAGCGCTCACCCCTCTGTGTGTTAATACCAGTCGGTATTTATAGCACTCAGCTCGAGCATATTAATGCAAGTCGGTATCTATAGTATGCCCAAGATTAGAAGCAAAATTTTGAAGAATAGAACCAGATGTACTTAAGTGTACCACACTGGAAATTATAAAAATTATGTTTCCCAGCAACGTGCTGCAAGATACTTAGGTTCCAATTTGTGAGCACACAAATGGGTGGAGGGGAAAAAAGGTATCAGTGGGTGCAGTGTGACGTCTTCAGGAGTCAAGATCCGCTTGGCGGCCGAGCTCCAAGGCTGTGCTGGGACGCTGGCTTGATAGGCTGTGCCAGGGCGCTGGCTTGATAGGCTGTGCCAGGGCGCTGGCTTGATAATACGGCATTTGACAGCGCTATCACTCCGCACTCCGCGAATACTACCCTCCCCGAGATGCATTTATGGAGACGTGTGCAGGAATTCGCAATGAGAGGGGAGGCATGTTCCTTGCCAACTTGTTAGACTAACAAATAATGGCACGTTTATTGACTGAAAGGGGATGCGGACAGGGCGTGTATGAGCTTATTACAAATTTGGCTAGTATCAGCTCAGGGTGCCTTCTGGCCACTTGCTTCGGTTTGAAAAGTGAGATGGGGGAAAACCTTAGCAAGGAAAAGTGACCAAACCTGCCCAAAATTCACTTAAAAGCTGATTTTAAAAAACTGACGCACTTTGCTCTCAACTTAGGGGGATAGAAACCTTCTCCTCCGTCTGAATAGGAAATTCCACTTCTTACTTTTCCTAACACTCTTAAATAAATTTCAGATGCTGATATGATCACTTGACGCACTTTATTCTTAAACAGCATACAGTTGCATTCATCCTCTGTGCAGCCAAATCTTCACAAAGACTGACTTTTGGTCTTTTTGGATGGTCTTTTTTGCAGACTGATGCTACCTTGAATAAAGTGGGTGAGCCCTCTGGAAAGCTCTGTAAGTCATTCTTCTTACTTAAAATTAGTTAACTTAGCATGTTCTGACCATTCGTCTAGAGGTATCGAACTTGAAAAAGGAGCATGCGGATATAAACAGTACGCCCAAATCAAGTTTTCACAGAATTTGATTGCGATGTTAAGTCGCATGTTTCTTGACCAAAAC